TTTAAGGCACATATCGTTGAAAGCAATTTAGACGGAAGTAATCAATCGGTTATTTACGACAATAATAGACAAGCATTTCATCTGACAGTCGACTATCAGACACAACGATATTATTTCATTGATATCATAGACTATTCACTATATTCTGTAGACTTTTATGGCAATAATGAAAAACTTTTCTACACTTCGTATCCATTGTTTCATTCGTTGAACTCAATGTCGGTATTGAATCGCGACTTATATCTATCTAACCATCAAATGGTGTATAAAATACCGGAATTCCCTTTACGTATACCGAAGGCCGAGGTATTGTTCACTACATATGATGTGAACCAAAGTTTTAGCAAAAATAATGAATACTTTTATGGGTTTAAGACATTGAGAGTTAGTAGAGAAAAGTTTTACAGCTTTAAGACAATGAGTCCACTGTTGAGACCAAATGGCGTCAATAGATGTGAAGCACATGTATGTAAGGAACTGGAGCTATGCATACCGTTGGGGACAAGCTATCGGTGTCTGTCAAAGGAAACTGATAGTGATAATCAAGAGTATATCTCACATGATATTGGATCTCATAGTGATATAAGTGATAAAAATTCCAGCACCGGTACCAATAACACCAACACATTAGCCGTATTTAATACAATTATTATTGCGATTCTGATTATCATTATAGTCGTGGTCATTTTTATGTAAGCATTTATTTTAGTTTTGTGCGTTTAGTTTAATAATTTTCTTAATTTATGTTTAGTTTCTATAAGAAGTTGAATACAATGAGTGGCACGACATATAGATCCCTGGTCATTGAGCCGAGTATGCCATTGTTTGATCGCCATTCCTCACCTGATAGTGAATTATAATTGTATGAATTTATGGATTATAATTAAATAATAATTGATTTATTTTATACTAAAATAAAGTTTTAAAATAAAATAATTGTTAAATTTTATTTTTTTTATTTGTTGAGCAAAATTAAAATTTATAAATATGTTATAAATATATTGGATTACATTGCATTATGGTGGGGATGTTCAATTAATTATTTTGCATATCTTTAATTAATTGCAGTATAAGTATATACAAGTAGATAATTTTGCAACAGTAGTCGTAAAACTCGTAATTATTCATCGGAAACAAGTCATAGCAATAGAAACCAATGTCCGCACCGGACAACAGCTCATTGAATGCACGTATTTTCAGTCTATACCTCAACGAGAGATTTGATTTTTGTAGAAATGTATGCAAAACTGAACGACATTTATGAGCCCTTTTAGTAACCGATGCACACAATAGTGTCAGGGTAAATAAGCTACTATCACCATAATGTTAAATGATATAAAGAATATTCTATATATGCAATACACATACAATTGATTGTACTGTTGTATTCGCTGATATTTGGTATTAAAGTACATAATATTTGCACAAAAATGCCTCCAATTTATTGAGACCCGCAGTCCAGTCGATATTATTGTCTAAATAATTGTTAAATTTGTAGCCAATTGTTGCAACTCTGAGAAATTTTTTATTCATTTTAAAAATTAATTTTAAGATCACAATTGTTAATTTTATAATAGCAAATGTAAAACAAATATTGTTACAGAAAATAGTTTTAATAAAATTAACTTTTGAATGTATAGAATAAAAGTATTTTAAGATATTGTTTAATTAAGTGCACTATTATTTTATTGATTATTGCACTGATACAGTATATGAATTGTAAATAACGTGATAATTAAAAACTAAAATAATATACAATATATTTGCACTTAATATTAATGATTATTTTTATATACTGCATATTTATTTTATGAGTTTCAATCATTAATTTTCATGAAATATTGTGAATGAATAATTATTTTATGAAAAATAATACTAAAATTAAACTTATCTGATATATTATAATATTATTATTTTAGTTATATGGATATGTATTATAAGTAATTTACACTACTATTATTAATAATACACTTACAATGAGATTAAAATAAAGTTATTTATAATTAATTGGATAAAAAGTAATCAATGTTTACTTATAATTGTTTTATTGGATTAATTTTACTTTAATCATAGGAATTTGACTGTTATTTTGCAAGCAATTGCACAATAAGTATATACAAGTAAACAATTTTGCAACAGTAGTCGTAAAACTCGTAATTATTCATCGGAAACAAGTCATAGCAATAGAAACCAATGTCCGCACCGGACAACAGCTCATTGAATGCATGTATTTTCAGTCTATACCTCAACGGGATGTTAGGGTTTTGTAGACATGTATGCAAAAGTGGGCGACAATTATGTGCTGTTTTTGCAACTGACCCGCACATGAGTGTCAAGGAAAATATAATGCCAACCAAAATAGTAATATAAGATTTATAGAATATTCTGGCGTATATATTAGTATGGCTATCGGTGGATAAGTATATGATTAAGTCAATGCTAGGTGTAAGTATGAAGTATACTAAAAACATAACCACTCTCATAGACCGATTCATTGCCATGACCTCCCTGGCCACTAAATAATGTCTAATAATAACCCTCATAAATAAGTGCGAGTTGACATTTAGAGATAATTTCATTTCTGTGTTAATCTCTTGTAACTGATATCTGAGATAAATCATAGATAGGAACCAATATGTTGAGCCACTAAACAGCAGGGCAAATATCTCAAAACATGTAGTTAGGGCTATTGTCGACCAGAATATAATGTTTATTATATAATATTTTCCCGGATTTTCAATGTATGAAATTATTGTAGTTGCGAATATCAAAGCAAAAAATAGTACACTAATTGGTATAAATAGTTTGTTCATTATATGAGTGGTTACAAAGTTTGTATAATAACCAAATTTACGGACATTTGCCGGGTTAGTCAACGGATTGCTAATTATTTTACATTTAATCTCATTTAGTAGCCGTATTACATGATGACTACCTGCCCACTCTTTATAGTTGGCATCAATTTCTATAGATAATGTTATTAAACCTGCTAAACTGAGTAATGTAGAGAATATTCTGGAGTTACCCAATAAATAAATTGAATTGCACAGAATATATTGCATACTGGTGCTATCATACACTGCAGATATAGCATATTGAAGTGTAAATAATAAAGCACATATCCGCAGAATTATTATCTTGGTGAGTCGTTTCATATCAATGTGTCCAATGATATAGTCTTTAAAGTTTGCCGACAATAACACATAATATTTGCACAAAAAGGTTTCCAAATTCTCTAGACCCACAATGGGGTCCACATTATTTTCTAGATAACTATTAAATTTATAGTTAATTTCGGTAAATCCATTCAATATGTTATACATATTTTCAGTTAACTAGAAATATAATGAAATAATTTTCACATATAATCAACTTGTATTATGTATATCTTAAGAATAACATTAATATACCTGTAATTAAAATAATTTTATAATTAGTTTTGATATTTTCAGAAGTTGTTTATAAGTTTAAGTTCTTTCAAATATTAAATATTTAATAATTACATAAAACTTGGATTACTTAAGGACTAATATTTAATTTTTGTCAGGTACANATTTTATAATTAGTTTTGATATTTTCAGAAGTTGTTTATAAGTTTAAGTTCTTTCAAATATTAAATATTTAATAATTACATAAAACTTGGATTACTTAAGGACTAATATTTAATTTTTGTCAGGTACAGTATTATATAAATAATTTTTATAAATTATTAGACAATTTTAATATAAATCTTTGATACAAAGTAGGAGTAACCAGGATCTTTTAGCAAATAAATTTTAATGAAACCTTGAAGTGTGAAACTTAAGTGCAACAATTTTAAACCTTATTTAATAAATATATAAAAGCAATATTTAATGTTGGGGTAACGATATTTTTATCATTCATAAACTTTTATTTTTGACTTACAAGTTAGACCCATATTAATATACCCAGTTGGTTATTGATCCTATTTAGATCATCGTATTTTATTTTAGTATATCGTGTGTTACATTATTTATAGCAATATTGAATTCATACATTGCATGTCTATTGTAAAATAAAGCCTAATTACTTTTATTTTTTTGTGGCAATGTACCCAAATGAATTACACGCAAATATGAACATTATTAATTCAGATTTACTTGACAGAATAATAATAATGTGCATTATTGTAATAATATTAAATTATTAATTTTATTGCTTTTTGAATTACTGAAAACAGTGATACAGTATAATGATAAATCATGTAATAAAATAAATTGCAATATTGAGTATACGTATATAATAATATGAAATCAAACATAAACAATTATTTAACATTTAATTTAATAATAATAAATTTTAAATTATTTAGAGAAACCCATAAAAATAATAAATTATGTAAATTATTTTATTACTTACAAAAAATTTTAGACATAATTTACTCATTGATTAAAGCCTAAAACATAGTATAAACTTATATTATAAATTATAATATATAAAGTTAGTTTAATTAAACAAATATACGGCATATAAATTCAATCCATACATAAGGGACATAAATCTTAATTAAGAAAACATGTTAATTAATAGTTGAATGAAATATTTGCTCAAATAGTAGAGGAAATGGCGTTTTTATTACGGATTTGTCTCTTAATAATCTCATTAATTGGTAACTATTTGTCTCAAACAATTGACACAATTATTTAAAATCTCAACTTAATTGTCATTTTAGGGTTATCCACGCAAAAAGGTCCAGGTGCATCTGGTAAGTCATTACCGAGTTTACTATTTATAATACCCATTGTGATAGCCCTCCCAACCCCTATGTTGTAGTACCAAACAAGGGTGAATCAATGGACAGTCCGTCTAAGGAGGTGGTGGTTCAACACCCGGTGACAGTCAATGTGGCCGATCCACAGCCTATGCCTACTCCGGCCGGCATGTCGGCGCTTAAGACACGAGTGGTGGTGGTGCACAATAACATGGTGCCGGTGCCCATCGAGTGCTTCCAACCGCCCGACTCGGGCACCTGTAGCAAGGATTTGGCGC